AGGACATGTCAACATTTCAATACAGAACACAAGAGTCTCCGATTTCATGATTTTTTATTGAAAGTGTCTGAATCGTGGATAAAAGATCATGTACCTGCTCCTGAGCAAAACTCGGAGGTCGCTACTACATCGCGTGCGTCCCATCATGATGCGATAGACAGACTTTCCGATCAGCTAATGCAACACCAGCTAATACTCATTTCCGAAACTAACAAACGAAAACGAAGAAACTGCCATGTATATTCCAAAAACAAAAAAAGAAGGACAATAAATTTAATGTGTGTCTTGTGGAGTTGCGTTACATCTTGGAGATTGTTTTGCTTCATATCATCTGAAAGAGAAATACTAAGTAAGTACCAAAGAAAATATAAATAAAAAAGTATATAAAACAAACAAATTTTACATTTATTTACATATGGATAGCTTCGAAATTTCATGAAAATAGGGGGACAGGATTGAAAACTCATGAGAACTAACGATGAGATTAGTAAAACTTGATAATTTATAATCTCCCGATGACCTCAAGAATGACCGGCCACAAGCGAAGTAATCTGAATTAGTGCTGCCGGCGCCAAGCGAAGAAATTTTTACGAAACGTGCGGACGGCAAAGTGTAAGTTGAAATACGGTCGTCGCTTTATCGTTGTGTTTATGAATTTAATTGCAAATCGCGAGGTCCCAGATTTACGCCCCGAGGACAGCAACGATCGCTCACGTTGACGACGTGACGGAACATATCCAAAACGTAAAACACCATTTTCTATTTCGTATTTGAAATAAGAACAATAAACGATTTTGGATTTCCAATTTTTACAAGATTTTGAATCTATTTAAGGGGTTACACCACTTTGACCTACCCAAAAATTACGGTTTTTCAAGAATTTCTTTTTAAGAATTAAAACGTTTTTATCCAAATTAAAATACAATAAGGTATTGTACTACTATTAAACAAAAGTGTTCTTTTGTATTTTTTTTATTTACAAAAATGGCGGCTTGAAAGGCGATTTACCGGAGCGCTGCGAAAATCGGTCATCGTGCGGTGGGCACAATAACTCAGTCTAGGTTTAAGTTAGAACAATAAACGAAAAAGAATTAGTTTCTGTAGCCCAAAAGCTAACGAAAAACGTAGCCGTTTTCAAAAATATGCATTTTTCACAAAATGGCATCGATTTGAATGGAAAGATACGTATTTTGCCCTAAATTTCGTTAATTAATGTTGCATAAAAAATGCGAATATCAATACATTGAAATAAACATAGGTATTTCGCTAGATAAACATATTACGAATAAAATAAAAAAAGAATCAAGACGATTGATTGAAAATTGACGGAGCTAGAGTACCCACCGATTTTTAAAATGCAGTTTTAAGAAAAACGCGTTTACACTTATACACCTGCCCACCGCACGATCACCGATTTTTGCAGTGAGCGAGTTTAATAGTAGTATAATACCTTACTGTACTTTAATTTGGATACAAACGTTTTAACTCTTAAAAAAAATTCTTGAAAAACCGTAATTTTTGGGTGCGTCAAAGTGGTGTAACTTCTTAAATTTGAAATTAAATACTTCCGGAAAAATGAGAATATTAGAAAAGAATCGATAAGAATGATATTTGTTCTATCAACTGAATCAACTCTCGAAAAAGTTAAAGAACACGCATAAGTCGAAATAGCCACTCTCGCAAAAACTGATGAAATTAAATTGTTTACTTGCATTTTAAATAAAAATACGAGTCATAAAATTACGTGTCCGAAAAAGGCGTGGACAACGAAGGGTTGTCCAGGGTTGTCCACGCTACGTCACGGAAGCTTCCCCGCCACCTTTCACTTCCGAGGAAAACCCTTTACGCCGTTACAGCTGCCTTCGCGATTGGACAACTCTGGCGGTGGTCGCGCGCTATAGGAAATGCTCCTGATTCCGGAAATATTCTGGTTAAAACGACAGAGCTCTCTGTTTTACCGACTAATCCGGACCGAGTGCAGTTTGCTGCCTTAGTATTGTCAATTGGCGGAGCTAATCGAGAATCGAGGCGTACGGAGTGATGGTTTATGCGTTAACGCGGTTAACCTAATTCCAAAGGAGAATTAAGCGGTCTTATTAAACGGTGGTACCGTCCGGTTGCTACGGCGCACGAGCGGATAACAACCGTGCTTCAACGTCAAACACTGGCTCCAAATAGTACGTGGAACGAACTGTCAAAATAAACGGGATTCCAGTCATCCAGCCATGTAACGACTGATCCTGCTAACTAAAGTCCAAGGATAGCCGACGTTTATTTAGGAATCGGCCAATAAAAGATTTACGCTTCATCGATATGTCTATTCTGATGCTAATCGGAACTTGGGGTTAAACTTTGAAGAACCACCAGAATTTGCATGGCTGTAGCGATATGAGTTACCAATGACTCCTATTACTGTGGTTTAATGTAGAATAGTTAAATGATATTTAAAAAACGAACACGAAGTACACCGTGTTACACTAAAAAGTACTTTAACTAATTATTCTTAGCTCTTAGCGCTTTGAAATTTGAAAAAGAAATCAAGAGATGCATTAGAGATATTTGCACGAGGCATGTTAATTCGTAATACGCCGTTATATTTAGAAATCAATTACATGCTTCGGTATTCGAGTTTTGCCATTGAAATGGTCTTTAGGTATGTCATGAATAGATGTTACTGACTTATTTAATAATATTGTTCTTAAGTTACTATGCAACAAAATGAATTACTTTAAAAATATTTTACTTTTGTTAAAAGCCTATGTTATAATCTTGGTATTCGACATTTGGTACGCAGCTTGTATTTTTCGTTAAGAGAAGTACGATACCTATTTACAGCTAATCAAAGTTTTTGCTATTCCAATGTTGGTTTCAATACGATGCCTTTAAATCAAGTTTATTACTTGATTCATGGGTGTTTGGGAGAAAAACAGAATACCGATTCAACAAAAAGTACTTTTAAAAAACAAGCAGTAACTGTCGGGAGCGTCGACAGCCCATCCGCGTTAGCATAAAATTAATCTTTTTGTAATCGCTCAAGTCAAGGCCCATGGAAAACTCGAGGTCCTTCCCACGTGTACCGAAGGACACGAGCCATCCTCGAAAGGGGGGACAATAAACTTGAGTCCGAGCATTCTCTAAGGGTCTCTTTTCAAGGGTTTTCGTCGAAAGTACTGGACGACGTCTGGCGAACAGATTTTTTAACTTTCGAAAAACTCCGAAGTCCGCTTCTGGCGATCAGACGTCGCTCGAGGGTTTTTTCTGCGAATGCGCGGCCTACGTGACCGGCCGTCTCCCGAGTGCCTTCGAGGATGGAAACCGTTCAAGAACTTTTCCCTTCTGTTACGTGGCGGCCGAGTGGCTAGCGAGGCCAGGGGAATTTTGTAGATTCTTCGAAGCGATATACTGTTCGTAGAGATATTAACCCTTTGACCTATAACCACGAGTCTGACTCGTGGCAAAAACACGCAATTGGCATATATCGTATAGGCCAAGGGGTTAAGTCATACGCACACGTAACCAGTTTATTATTTGAGAGATATGGAGAGGATAACCCGAGCAGCTAGGTCAACCTCTTTGGTGGGATCGATAGGTTTTTTGGTCCTCAAAGGGTGTTGGGAAGTTGCAATGAGGACACAGGAGGATTTTAAGATGTCGTGAGAACCAAGTCGTTGTGTTGTATTCAATGAAACGGTTCTATTTATGATATAAGGGGTACAATGTCCATGGGGGTAAGGGGTACAAATATGTGCTGCGCTAAGCAGATCGTCACGAGTCGAGACAAGGACGTTGTAGGCCGCGCACTAGCGCTTCACGGAAGTGTAATCGAGATACGTCCGCGTATCAATTGCGGAATTCTTTGCTTGCAAGGTGTGCTTTGCCTAACTCAGCAAGGGCGGCTAATGAGTTGCGGCGATTCATACTTGAAGAGTTAGAATCCGATAGTTGTTACCGGGTGGTAGATACCGAATTCTATTGCGGGTTAGTAATTTGGAATAGGGTTCGAAATAGAGTGATAAAAGAGTAAAAGATTGCAAGAATGGAAGAGTGGAACTCTTCGAAGAGGACCTGTACCTTGGCTTTGTTACTTTCGGTGATGTCTCTCCTACGTCTTGCCGGTTGCGATGAACTGCACGTGAACGCGTTCAAACCGGGGCGTGCCCTAGGGTTGGAGCTTCCTAAAATCCTCCCGCTGGTCCGGAATTCGCAGCGCCGTCGTTCTTCTCACTGTTGGCTCGTGGATGTCGGAGTACCGAAACACAAAACTGTTACTACGGTACGGTCAGCTCTTCAGAGAGCTCCAGCCTCGCTCCTGAGACTGCTCTGTACGCTGTCTTAAACTCTTCTATACTACTGGCGGCTGCTTTTCAGTATCGCTTTTATACGAGATCTTATCCTTGAGATGCCCATGAGGACAGGGTCCGGTTTCTTTGTTTCTGGATTTTGTTGTTAGAAGTTTGATCGGAAGTGGTGAGGTAGTCACTATGTTGACGGATGAGTAGGTCCGTGTGTTGCTCCAGAGTATAGTTCGATGCGGAGTGCATGCGAATAAGCCAAAAGATTCCTCGGTGATTGTTCCACTCGTTATTTTTTCGGTTTAATCTGACGATACTGTCGTTGCTTTGGATTCGATATTTATCTTCCGGTAACTGACTCATACTTAACAGAATGCGCGCCTCTCTATTCTGAGGAAAATCGGGTAGCCTCGTAACACTTCCAATGAGAATGCTCGACTCAAGTCCGACTTCCTCCCTCCACCGAGTTGGAAAGAGAACTATGCACTCGGATACTTTTTAAGAATTTTTGTAAAAATCAGATTCCAAACGAAAGTTGTCGAGACAACATTGGATCTCTCTCAAAAACGTTGCCGAGTCAACGTAGATTCCTACCGAAAGTTGCCGAGACAACATCGGATCTCACACAGTTCGTTGCCCAGTCAACTGATTACCTCCATAAAATCACGCATCATTCCTTATCCGTATAAAGAAATATAGTCTGTAGTATTACAAAAATCCGGAATATTTTTATTCAAAACGCGAAACCAGCTGCTGGCGGTTAATTCCCCCTTCAGCAAAACACTATCCGAGCCCGTCTTCTCCGGCCCGAGGATTAACTACCCTCGGGGATTGACTGACAATCGCGAGCTGTTTAGTGTCGCAAAACACTGTCCATCATTTTTCTTAAATACTTGAATTTAATTGTATTCTTCTGTTTCGCCTGTCCAATTGAAACTAATATATTCGCAACATTATCGGTCACTATCTTCTGTTTCATCATCTGATTCCTCCTCCATTGTCATTTGTTCGGTAACCTCTTCTGTCTGATTTAATTTCCTTATAAACAAGTGAATGTAATTGACTAAATTTTTGTCGCTCTTCTGAACCTGAAATGAAATTCATGCGTCAATTTAGAACGACTGTAATCTAAATCATTAAACATCCTTCACATACCATTTTTAGAACTTTTTGAGCAGCTTCGCACAAATCATTTGTTTTTGTTTCATCATCCAATTGAATGTCTAAGTACTGTAATGACTTAATCAGTATACTTAAGCTGATTTCTCTTCTGTCATTCAATATTTCTCCCAAAATGGTAAAAGCAAGATTTTCGTGTATGTAACTGTTTGATATAGACTGCTGTATACCAGGTTTGGTAAGACTTAAAATAAATTTTGACACTTTAAGTGGATTGATTTCATGCAGTGGACTGAATGCTGGTGCATTAACCAGTGCGTGCAATGTCAACATGAAAGCCTTTTCAAGCATATCTTGGCTTGTAAGTGCAGAAATTGCGAACGCATGAAAAAAGGAAGTGAGACACTGCCTCATGCGTATATCATCCTCTGATATTGGATTAAACCAAAGGATAATGAGGCGGGATAGCAATCTAGCACTGACGATTCGCTGATGTAGTAATAACTTGCAGAAACCTTCTGCAGTAACGGTACGTACTTCCTCATTCTGAAATATATCAAACAATTCATAAAACAGGTAATAAATTCAGCTTCCATTAACTATAACGACATGAAAGCAAATACTTACTGTATTTTCTAATAGATCAATTAAAATTCGTACAATATCAGGGCTTTCTGATTCAGTACCTTGTTGCCTAATAGATGTCACATCATCAGTTTCTGAATCAGTATGCAAATTTACTCTACCAGTTCTCGTATTATTTGATGTTGAATTTATTATACTGCATTCTCCAAAGCCGAAAAAATCAAGTCCATACAGCAATAACAAATCAAACACTGCTTTCAGTGCTGTAGTCCAAACCCTCGTGCTGTCATTTTCTGTGGTAAGTATCATAAAGAATACCATTAGATACCGTTTAGCCAATTCCTTATCCAATACGCAACATATTGAGAGAGCTTTAAATGCCAATGTTTGAACATCATCATCCAAATGCTGAAATGTACAACTAACATTAACTGATTAAAATTAAGATAAAATATATGATGTAAAATTGAAACTTATCGCACTAACTTACATCAATACTTGGTAATACCATGTTCTCCATTTGGGTTCTTAAAATAGGTGTTAAAGTGGTAATTTTTTTTGATTGCATCATTGCACACATTATTTCTAGACACACTATCATGGTGGCACGATCATTCTTTTCCTTATAGATTTCCTCGGTGTCTACAGAAACTGTCGTCGGACAGCTCAGCTTATTGATTTCTTCTTTCAAAGCTTCGATTTTAGAATTCAAGTCTTCTGCTTTCGCAAACTCTTTTCTTTGAATGGCTTCATATTGCTCATCCTCAATTTCCGAAATCTGGATTCTGAATTTTGCTTTCTAAAGAATTTGTTAAAAATTTTTAAATTTTATTAATGTTACCAAATATCTACTAAAATAAATATCGTTTTTACCTTCACCCGTATTTGTTGTTCTTCTTCTTCGGAAACTTGCATCAATGTTGATGCAACAGTCTGTTTAGATGGTATTCTAAGTTCACTAATAACATGTGTCAAGGCTGTTAATCTCCCATTTACATCTGGATCAACTTCCTCTAAATGTAGCACAATACACTGAATTACTGTCCTTGGACAATTTTCTATCATTAATGTGTTCAATATTAACTGCTTTAAATTACTTCGTCCAACTTCATCCGCGAGATCATACATTTTAATTATTTCGAATAACTGAAGTAAAATAAAATTATGTCCCATTCTTTCGCAAATTTGTAATTCCATGGAATTTATGTCACCTAGAAAATCTCGTATATATTTACAGAATTTTGTTAACTCTGGGAGGAATTCATCCATTTCACTGTCTGAAGCGATAAAATTTATCGATTTAAGATGTTCTATCAAGCACCTCCAGTACAAAACACTTTCACTTGTTAACTTTTCATGTGGAATAAGTTTTGTCTTTGGATCAGTGGGTAATTGTTCCAACAGAATCTTTACTTCGGCAGACCTTATGAATTTATGATTCATTAATATCAAAATGTAAACATGTGATAAGTGAAATTAGTAAAAGTAGGTAATACTAACTTGAACAAAGTTTTAATTACTAATATACTGATATCCATAGCATCTTCTGGATAAAGTGCTCTTAATAATGCTATGTATTCTCCATTACAATGCTCCAGCCAAGTAGGTAATAATGTGTGTTCAACAAATTTCGCTACCATCTCTGTTCTATCTCTGAGGCCTTCGCCAATGAGCCAAACTCTTTGCTTAATTGTTAAAGACTTTATATTTATTTTACTCATAAAACGATAAGCTTCTTTTCGTACCATATTACTAATATCTCGAGTCTTTTCCAGAACACCAGGTAATACTATTTGTGCCTTTGCTAAATTTACTAAAACAGCTTGGCGAACTTCAGGTTTTGGATCTTTTTCTAAGTGAAACAGGTACGTCTTGATTATTGGACATTGTTGATCGCATGGATCTTGCAATCTATGCAATGCAAATATTGCTTGTGCTCGAACCTTAGACGATTTGTCCAAAACTCTTGCCAACATGTTTGAACTAATTCTATCCCACAACTCATCGTCAATGTATGCATGTTCTCCCATCGAAGACAAAAGTAGATTCATAAAATGACAGACACGAAACCTCACCGCTGCTGACTTTGCATCATGAGAAATGAGTAAGAAGTCAAGTAACTTGCTAAGGAAGGGGCACATGATTTGATTACTATCATCGTTGTCAAAAGAATCCAAACTGCAAGTAAACTTTGCTGCAAAGTCCAAAGTATTCTCAATGTGAGGATGTTTCTCTGCATACGTCAATGGTACTCTCAAACAAGCGATGAAGCAATCTCCAAACACATCAATGTCAGTCTAAAAGCAACTTGCATTTAATTTTGCAACTTCAAATTTCTGTTACAATAATACCTACTGCATATTAACCCTTTGCGGTCGCATTTTCCCAAGATCAAGAGAATTTTGGTGGCTGAGAGTAGACATACGACTGCAAAGGGTTAAATTATCGCAACTATGCAGAAAAACTAATTTAGATGGAGGATGCTTACCTTATCATAACATGTTTTTAATAATTTCATCTCCTTCTGATGGCAAGTCTTATTGAATTGAACCCTTTCAAATATATTGTTTATAGTTTTCTGAACTGTTTGAAGTGTTTTAGCCATTGCATCACTAATTTCTTTGCTCTTTACAGTATTTAGGCTTCACTATGAAAAAAACACGATGCGTACTCTAGAGCTTTATAATGCTGCTTTTATTTTTTTTAATTCGAGCTTAGCATCAATGGTTTTTGTCGTACCGTTTTGTCCCTTTTGTGCTTTCCTCTAGGTTTTCATTTCACTTTGCCTGGTCCCTTTTCTTTGTTTGATCTCATGAGTTTCATTCGGTCGTTCTTAAATATAACGACATGTATTTAAATAGTTAAAAACAGTCAAACGGCGGATTTGCGCCTGCGCGTTAACTCTAGTACCTAACCTATTGCGCATGTGTGGTCAAAGCGTAACGTAATAGAAAGTGCCCGCGGCCCATATTTCGCTGCTGTCACGACCCGTTAACATCTAGCGGTGGTGAATCGAAGCTGTTCCACATTTATGCCCTATTTTTTTCATTTACGGATGAATTCCCAAAATCTTTTTCTGGATGATATCTGTGTGATATCTTTAAGTCCGGTTTTTTTTACTTCTAGTTAAAAGTTATCCGGTAGTTGAGAAGCAGATATTCTGCAGATAACTACTGCAGCGCCTGCGGTGGGAGCCTTGGAAATATTTTGAATGACATATAGAGACCACGATGGGCTGTATCAGAGACCTGCTCATCTCTGGCTGTATGTACCTTGTAAATAGAAAATTGTTGAGAGATGTTAGTTATAGACAGGAAAGGCGGGAAGATGGGAAGCCGTTAAATGTAAAGAAGAGGACTCGAGTCTATTCATATTTTTTAAATATGTATTACATTCACGTTTACATGTACTATAATTAGAAGTTCAACAATATAATTTTCGTATCATGGCATATAAGCATGAATTATTTAACAGTTTTCAATATTTAATAATGTAATATAACCTGGCGATAACAAAAACTAACCTGTACATCCTAGTAAATTCTCTTTCTTCTCACAAAAATGGGTCTGAGGCATCACGTAATTCTTTACTTCTTCTAATGAGGTTATTATTACATCCCCGAATCCGATTGTTGCTAAAAATCAAAACACCCGGGAGATTCTCCATTTTGACTTTTGGTATCGAAATCCGTGGAAGATGGCGTTCACGGCGTTTATTTTTTTATCTTTTTCCTTTCACTACTTCGCTTAATATTTTGTGCCGAGCTAGTTCAAATGAGTGATCTCGCATTTTCACCACCAAAAACGTTCCGTAATACCGTTAGCTACTCATTTTTCACATTTTCGCTCAATTTGCTTTACGTAATAGACTCTCTGGGCCGAAATCCAACATAAGGAAGTAAGAAGAAAACCATCTGGATCATGATAGTGGCAACACTGGACCCTACCTGTGAGCAATCTAGCAACGTCCCAACTCATCTCTGTAAGAAATGGGGAGTGTGGAAGTTGAACGTGGAAAGGTCAGTTTTATTTAATTTTTTCGGTTTTGTTCCGTGCAATAGTACACATAATTTTGTATGTGTCATAGTATCGTATACGGTAATATAATTTGAAGCAGACTATTATTTTTAACTGCAATTAGAAAGTATCATCGGTACGAGTAAATTAGTTGGTCAAGATTGAGGGCGTTGGTTTCCTCGCTAATGATTTGATTTCCTTGTATTGTCACCAACGGAACTTTTCCTTACCGTCCTTTTATGGAATAAGTACTGCTATATAATACATTATTTGAGTTATTAGTTGCTGATTTTCAATTCTAGCTAGAGGCTAACATCCGGAGTTTGAAACTCTCTGGACATGTTGGATTTGACAGTCTTCCCGATCAGTTGGTCAACAAATCTGTGCAAAATGGATTTGTTTTCAACATTCTTTGCATCGGTAAGTTGTGTAATGAAATCTTTGTCTAAAAAGTTACACACAGTATATTTGGCAATCCAGTATATTGACATTATTAAGTATATGATGTGTTAAATCTAAAAAGACTTGCAATCCCCTTAAAATTGTCAATATTTTATTGTTTTAATAGCAATAAATGATTATGTTGCAATGTTCTGAACGATATACAAGGATCTCCAATAGTACTATATTTTGATAAGGTACTAAATAATATAATAATATATTCATGAAAAAGCATCTTATTTTCAAAATTGCTTTAATAATATGCCGTGTAAAAATAATTCTACTGGAAACACAGTTTTTTTATAACCAACTGTAATTATTAAACAAAAATTGTTTGTGCCAAAATGAAAACACTGGAGTACGAATTAACATGTTGGTCGCCTCGTCACTTAGATATGGGTGACGCTGTGTGTAAACGTGAATGGTAGCCGAAATATGGGCGACGAACATGTTAAATGAGAATTGATAGCTTATAAAATTTGCAATTAATTCAGATTTGCGTCCCACAGAAGAAAAAGTGTTTAAAAGGTTAAATAAAAGAAACTCTCAAACTTTTGAAATAATTCTCCAACAAGAAAGCATAAAAGGATAAACTCGGACATTTTCTAAAAGTAGAAGAAACGGGCTATAAGAAAAAGGTATAATATATCTGTTAGATAAAAAAAAAGGTTCAATTTATTTTGAGACGGAAAGTCTTGTATAACTTTTCTTACATGTCAGGAATTACTAAACTTAATTTAAATAACGAATTTAGTTAAAAGTCTATATTTTTTATAAAGCTTTTATTTTACTAATGCAACAATAACTTTTTTTTATGACTCATTAAAGGAGTACTTGGATGTATAAAATACACAAAAAATATTAGAAACAGTCATAAACACTAAGGAACCATAAGAGTGCCAGTATAATTGCCTGTAATCTAGCCAACAATTTGATTTCAGCTAGGAAAATTTATATTGCGCATTCACAGTCTGTTTCAATGAAGAACTGCCTGTTATTATTTATTTCACAAATTCTTTGTGAAAACAATTCCCTTGTCGAATGGGGTTACTGAATACTCCACAGAATTGTGAAACATTAAGGTCTGGTTCCACAATTTGAGTTAACCAGAGTTTAATTGATTTATGGTAGGTTTAAACTGTGTGTAAACCAGATAAATTGCGATTAACTCGAGTTGTGGAATCAGGCCTAACACTTTCATTGCTAACTTAGAACTGCAAGGTTATACTAGGGTTGGATTGTGCTAATTTTTTTTATTAGATTTTTATTACATTTTTTTATTACATTTTTACTATATTTTTCCGAAGTGGAACCCAAAGGAGCAGGACTTGTCATATGACCAGTGTGTTGTTTATTAAAAACTTGCTAGAGATTCCTGAACTCTGGTGTGGCTGGCTGGAATTAATAACAGATCTTAATCTTTCTTTAAAACCAAATGCTAAATATGAAGCAAATGATTATCATATTATCTTGTAGGTGAGACCGGACTTGGAAAATCTACACTCATGGACTCATTGTTTAATACAAGCTTCGAATCAACTCCAAGTCCTCATAATTTGCCCTCAGTGAAACTAAAAGCTCATACCTATGAGTTGCAAGAGAGCAATGTACGACTAAAACTTACGATTGTTGACACTGTTGGGTATGGTGACCAAATAAATAAAGAGGACAGCTTTAAAGCAGTGGTTGACTACATTGATGCTCAATTTGAAGCTTATCTACAAGAAGAATTAAAGATTAAACGTTCTCTGTCCATGTACCATGATAGTAGAATTCATGTTTGTCTATACTTTATTTGTCCTACTGGCCATGGGTAATATTTATATTATGTATGTAACTTTTCTGACTATTCTTATAACTTGTTATTTTGAGTTTATTATTTCAGCCTAAAGTCAATTGATCTTGTTTGTATGAAAAAGCTGGATACGAAAGTCAATATAATTCCCATAATTGCCAAAGCTGATACAATATCTAAAACTGAATTACAAAGATTTAAGGTAATGATATGCCACGTATTCAAATGCCATGTATTATATCTCTTAAAATGTATATATTTGTTCCTTTTACAGAGCAAAATCATTTCAGAACTCCAAAATAATGGTGTTCATATTTATCAATTCCCTATTGATGATGAAAGTGTTTCCGATGTGAATTCTACCATGAATACTCACGTTCCATTTGCAGTTGTTGGGAGTACAGACTTTGTTCGTGTTGGTAATAAAATGATGCGCTCACGACAGTATCCATGGGGGACAGTTCAAGGTAACAATTGTTTTCAAGATTGGAAAATGATAGGAAATAAACTTGTTTTTTTAATTTCTTTCTATTTTTCAATAGTAATGTATGGAATTGTTTGGTAAAAAGTTATACAGAAATATTGTGCATTGCTACGATTAGTAGTACTTGAAATAGTAAAGTGATAAGATGATGAAGATGGCTACATAGTACGTGTTAGAATTGTGTAGCCATCTATTTTTATTAACTGTTTTACGATGTCTTTGTAGTTAATATACATATAGTAAAGTTTTACATAATTTCATGTATGAATGTAAAAAAAAAAGAATTATATAAATAGCTATTTGAAATAGGGTACATAATCATTTTATTTTTTATTCATTCCATGTTGTCTTATACAAAAATAATACTGTATCATTTTTACAGTGGAAAATGAATCTCACTGTGACTTCGTAAAACTTCGTGAGATGCTTATTAGAACGAATATGGAAGACATGAGAGAAAAGACTCACTGCCGACATTATGAACTATATCGAAAGAAGAGATTAGAACAGGTTGAATATTAATATGTTTCTGCAATGGGGGTTTTCGCGTAACACTAAAAGAAAAAAATCGATTGTTTTTAATCGAAGGTACATCTTTGAAGTATGCACATAACATTTCGAGATCGAAATAACGATGTAAAGTTAAGTTACAGCCAATTTAGTGAGAGGCTATTGTCTTCACAAATGTAAAAACATCCAAAACAACTGTAAAGATATCTGAAGACTTTACGTCAAAATTTATCAGTTACAAAATGGATACTGCCAAAATCGCGAGGTTCTGTTACCTAATGATTCAATTTGTAAGTAAAAAGTAGAGAAAAAAGTTGAAATTATGCAGAGGCTAATATTAAACGTATTTTTTTCGGAACTACACTTTTCAAACCAGCGTGGAGGATAATTCAAAATCTAATCAACTGATCAACTTCGCTCGAACCCCATTCAATTTATTATACATTTCTCCACGGATATAATACTTATCATTTCAATCATATTATTTATATATAATATTGTTTGTAAATTTAGACTGATTTTTTGCTGAAAAGAGTTCATTTTCATTCCAAACGCTAGCAATTTTACAATTTTATAAATATTTTTAAAACAAGTATAACACTGGCTTAAACTTTCCTTTTTTAAGAAAATATTTTACTTTTGCCATTCCAATGACTGTGACAAGTGCTATACTGCACACCGACATCTGATGTGCTGTCAAAAGTGAATAAGATAATTATATCCTTTTTAGAAAGATAAAGAAAAAAAATATCTTTTTAAACTTCAAAGATGCCTCTTTACATTAAAAGAATGTGATTCAAATATCGTCAATAATTTTTATATAACAAATTCCTGAAAATTGCTAGCTTGGTACCCTGTTACACGAGAATTCCCCCTTGAATAGTTAGGTCTATTTTTCTTACCTAAACTTTTGACACCTTAGTGTAATGAGTGTAAACTGAATGTAACCGAGAGCAGCTCATCTTTTGAGTGAGAAAAAAGTATACACTTCATAAGGAGAACACTACGGTGTAAAAACAAAATGGCAGTTGAGCTAGGATTCGTGGTATTTGTAGCAAATATCTTTCAGAGAGTGAAACATACTATATATGTACGTAGTATACATTTATAAGTTCCGTGGTCGTTAAACAATTTTTTCTTACTTTGGCATTTTATATGTTATAATGAATTTTGAAAATAACTGAAGGAAAGTAGTTTAAATATTTTTAAACTATTACTTGATTCCTCTGATGACAATTGAATTTTTTTTTGCTTTTGCGCTTTCATATAAGACAATTTCTATCCTCACTCAGCTTCCAAATCATAGAAATTCAAGTGTACACTTTTTATTCTTGCTTAAAACTAGGTTTAAAAAAGTGTACACCACATTATACTTGGTGCAGTTACACTTTCAAAGAGAACGTCATAGTGTACACTTTTCACGAAAGTGTAGAAAGTGTAGCCATGAAGAACTAACTATAACAGCAAATTTGCCACCGATATTTGAATAATTCTGTATTATGTAATATTTAGATGGGCTTTAGTGATGTCGACAGTGAGAATAAGCCAGTAAGTTTCCAGCAAACTTGTGAGGCTAAAAGATCGACTCATTTACAAGAACTTCAAAGAAAGGAAGATGAAATGCGACAGTTATTCGTTGCTCGAGTGAAGGAAAAAGAAGCAGAATTAAAAGAAGAAGAGAAAGAGGTAAAATTAAAAGATACACTTCTTGTTAACATTTTATTCATTTGATACTCATATTTTTTACAGTTACACAATAAATTTGATAAGCTGAAAAAAGATCACATGGACGAAAAGATAAAATTGGATGATACTCGTAAGAAACTAGAGGATGATATAATGGAATTCAATAGAAGAAAAACTCAAATTGCTCAACAAGCCCAACATCATACCCTTACTCTTGGAAAAAGTAAAAAAAAATAATATGACTTTCCAGAGTATACAATCTAATATAACCACATCATCTATTGAACTGTATTTATAATTAATACGTGACATAATGTACTAATTTTCTACTGACTGTAGGAGTCTCTCCTGAATTATCCAAAGTGAAAAAGACGTTGAACTTTTACTTTTAAAGTAGTAAAGTAAATTAATTTGTATAATCATCTTTTTTTATAAATGTAATTTATTGTAGAAACCGAATTATTTTTTCTTCATTGAGCGCAGCAAGCAGTTTAGCGCACAATACATCAGAATGTAAGCAGTATTAACAAGTTTACAGTTAATTGCATATTTACATTTCTTTGTACCTTCATTTTTCCATTAAGGGGCCTACTGCGTCTGTGAAGCCCTCGTGCGTAGGCTCACGAAATAAACACACCCGTGATTTTGGGTCGATTTGCCTGTTTAATAGGTCAGTTCAAAGACAAAATTACCGACAACTCTAGCTTCAGAATTTTCAATTTTAGTTTTGGTTCAATATTACAACTACACAAAACTTGCGGTACCTTCGGAGAGCTGTAACGTTAAACCAAAACTGAAATCGACAATTCTGAAAAGATACAGTCCTTGGTAGTTCTGTTTTATTTAAATCGAGCTATTAAAAAAGCAAATCGGTTGAAAATTACGGAGCTAAAAGATTATTTCGGAATGCGTGTTTTTCCCGCAAAAATGCATGACGACGATGTCCTTCGGCCACTTTATGTACATTTCGAGAACCGCAAGGAATCAGGGATATCGAGATTCCCTCTCCCTTTTTTGGGTTCGGATACTGGGTTCCAGGCCATCGAAGTTTATCTAGGTAAGTCGGGCTCGGAAAATATCGGGCCCCGAAAGGCCAAAATCCATTCTGAATGACAACGACGTAACTGTCGTTATCAAGTCCGCGCGGTCTTTCAATACTGATGTGTCCTTACCCCGGTGGCGGTGAAATATGACATTTGTAAAGGTGATACCTTTCTTTTCGAGGCGGGGGAAATACATTTTCGCACACCCGGAGCTTTATCCCCGGGTAGTGTGGGACTGCCTCCGAAAGGCACGACGTGGGGTGGGAGCCCACGCGGCCAAGGGCCATCCGTAAACCTCCTCGTGGTGGAGGTGGATGCGGACCCCCATGGGTCCGTAACGAAACGGCAAATGGCTACTGGGGAACCGTGAGAGATGCTCGCTCTGCGGAGCTGATCGCACTCTCGTTCCCCCTAGAGTTACCGGCGACAGGTTGCCCTCATCATGGGAATACTCCTCGACCGGATGGCCGGGGTGTGTCGGGTAACCCGTCCCGTGTCCCGGATTTCCGGGTGCGGGTTGGGGGCCGACACCATCGGCCGTAACAAGAAGGCCGGCGAGCTAGTACGGGCCGATAGATGGGATAACCGATCCGAATATTCGCTGGGTTATCTTGGCCGATGGATCGGGTTCCCATCCGAGCTAGCCTGGAAAGCTCGCCAAACCACGCTGGAGCATTATGTCTCAGCTGGCGCCTTGCACAAATGTTCGCGGCCGACTGCGGCCGATATGAAATTCTGGTAGTGTGGGACTACCCACGAAGAATATACCTATTAAAACCCCTCCTGCCAGAAGGCTTCGTCCGAGCTTGCCTGCATATTTTTACGACCCCCCAGGTTACCCCGGTGATACCTAACTAGACTCAAATTAACGTAGTGTTTTTGGAAGAAAATTAATTTTCGATAATGTAGATATGGACGGAATAGAGAAAATTTTATATTGCGGAACGAATTGACATTTTTGCAATATGATATTATATGCAAACAAGTTGTAGCATGTTTCGCGACGGTCGAACAGTCCCATTACAGCCAAAAGTAAATTTAAATGGCCAATATTTCGTTATATGAATTCTCTGACAAACGTTACACATATAGGGTACAGGGGAGGAGGGGGGTGAGTCATTCGGAAAGCGTTCGAGTCCATCGACACTCAGCCTCGGCGGTAGCACGAGCACGGAGGGTCGGTGCGGAAAGGGGACTGCATACTTGGGTCTCTCTATATCCGCCCTGGAGGCCGTGTGTCCGAGTGAGATAGCCTATTTGATGCGCTATCCGCCTCATAGAACAAAGACAGATTTATGCGTCCGGGCTTCGGGTCCTGACCAGATAACGCTTTCGCGTTGGCGTGTCCAGCACGGCTCGGCCGCCAACTAGAGGCTCGAGGGGCGTGGCGTTCTCGTTTCCTCCTACGGGTCGCAATGGCCTCGTGCTTCCATTACCACTCTCAAAGCTCTGGTCTCGGGCCTTCAACCCCCTGCTGCGTGTGGCTGAATGTCGGTTCCCCGATAAGCGGATTATTGTCAATGTTTTCGCGCCGGCGATGAAGACTCTCATTCTACTCCGGGCTACGGCCTCGTTCCTTCTGGAATGGCGTTCTCCCTTCCTCTCTTGCGGGTCTTATGTCTCCCGACTGCGTTCTCGCTCGGACTCGTTCACCCACAGGCCTTATCGCCCCTTCCTAACATGGCGCGCAAGGTGGATTGTCATTTTGCGACGACCGCGATCAAGTAATTGACAGAGGGAAAGGAGGATCATTTCCTTAGCGAAAACTGTCGCCTCGAATAAACTATGCCGTCTACTCGTAACTTTAACCTTTCGTCGTCCCTGCTTTATTAAGACATGCAAATTTATGAACCATGTAGAAACTGAAACAGGATGAAATTTCAGAGTTCCGTGGTTTAAAATAATACAATTTGAGGGCATTGACATTAAAGCAAAATGATAGAAAGAGAAATTTTGCAACAAACGTAAACTAAAATAAGCACAATAAATAGAGGGAACACGGTTAGAAAAAAAAATTTATATTTCCGAAGGAATTGACGTTCTTGCAATATGGTATTATACGGAAACAAGTTGTAATATGTTTCGCGACGATCGAACAGTCCCGTTACAGCCAAAAGTAAATATAAATGGCCAATATTTCGTTATATGAATTTTCTGACAAGCGTGACACATGGAGGGAAAAGGGAAGGAGAAGACCAAAAATAAGTTTCCCTTCGTTGGGGCCGGCTAGGCTCGGTCGCCGGCTCGGGGCTCGAGGGTCCTAGACGTGGCGTTCTCTTTTACTCCTACGGGTCGCATAGGCATCGGGCTTTCTCTACCACTGTTAAAACTCCTGTCTCGGGCCTTCTACTCTCTGTTGTGAGGGTTTCGGTATCGGCTCCCGATAATCGGATTAACATCGATGTCTACACGCCGGCGAGAAAGATTCTCTCTCTACCCAGGGCTGCGGTCTCATCCCATCCGGAGCGGCGTTCTCCGTTGCTCTTTCGCGGATCTTATGCCTCCCGACGGCGTTCTCGCTTGCCGTCGTTCACCCTCGGGCCTTATCGCCCCTTCTTTCCGTGGCTCGCAAGGTGGATTGTCATTTTGCAGCGACCGCGGTCAATTAATTAACAGAGGGAATGGAGGGTCAATTCCTCCACGAGAAATGTCGTCTCGAATTAACTGTGCCATCTAGTCGTCATGTTAACCCTCCGTTGTCCATGCCTTCTTCGGACACGTAATTTTATGACTTGTATTTGTATTTAAAATGCAAGTAAACAATTTAATTTCATGTGGTTTTGCCAATGTGGCTATTTCGAGTCACGCGTGTTGTTTGACTTTTTCGAGAGTTGACTCAGTTGGTAGAACAAGTATCATTCTGATCGATTCTTTTCAATTATCCTCATTTCTCTGGAAGTATTTAATTTCAAACGGAAATAGATTCAAAATCTATTTAAAATGGGAAATACATAACAGTTTATTGTTCTTATTTCAAATACGAAATGGAAATGGGGTTTTGTGTTTTGTACATCAATTTCGAATGAAATCAATTCATAAGAGTTAATCCGATTTGTGTTTATAAAAAACTCGGATATGAAATGTCTTTCTTATGTTTGCGGGTGCTCATTTACATGCTCATTTAATGATTTACAGGTGTTCATTTATTTGAGTAGTACGAAAAATGGTGTAGAACGTAAATATATAAGGGACATGAAATCACGATTTCGTTTCTATGTCCGATAGTTGATGCATCGTAAATTTTCCTACGGTATTTCATTNAATCCATTCTGCCCCTCGAGCGATTCGAATTCCGCGCTGCTCCCGCCGCTAGTACGCTGCGCGGCCGGAGAGGGCAGAGCGGACAGGAGGAAACCATCGACGGAGTTCAGTGAACAATGGTAAGGTGGTGTACAGTGGTTTTGAAATTACGCGCCGCTTTCTAGAGCCAATCCATGAACGTATGATATTCTTACGTGCCAATCAGGAGGCTGAAAAACGGGAAATCAATATGCCCCTCCTTTTCCTACGCGTTGGTTTCCCCCTGATCTAAGATGAGTACTTTGGGCTCCGTCCATATATTCGTGCGTTCATAGCCTTTAAGTTCCATTTATATATTCTTACGTCCATGATTTCAGTGCTGTGAGGACAGTCTCTATTACTTTCTGATCATAGGTTAATATATCTTACGGCAATCTAGTTATCTAACTGCGTACCAGTAAGTTTGGGGTCATGTCTTTAGCGCTTTGAGCGAATGCCGCGAGGCGAGCGTCGGTGTGCGTAAAATGGCGGACGGTGACATTGATTTGTACGCCGACGATCTCGAGCAAGATTTTGCCCAGGTAATTCGAACATTTATTGAATATAACTATGTCGAAATGTTTCCGAAACAGAATAGGTAAGTCAGGAGCAGCTTCGCGAACACGATAAATGATCAATACGTGTACAATTGTAAGTCGGACTTTTCGGCGTCGCGGTGGAGTTTTGCTAACGATTGGTCGCGACGGCTTCACAAACTTCTGAACTGCAAACGAGAGCCATCCCGACGTGTTTGCATTAATTTAATAATGTTTTGGCGCGTGAATTATCAACGTTGTCTGCCGCCCTTCTTAATGCCGCACACCTTTCAGATTCACGATCTCGCTGTATCTTTCTGAATCTGTATGTGCTGCGAATATAAGCATCAGATACGTGCACTGGGAAAACCAAAATGGTGTTAGCTTCAACGTCGAGGCAAATATCGAACCGTTCCCTCTACTCCGAGTATCAGAGTATGGTTAGCGGGATTTAGATACTTTCGTAATGAAAACTTCTCTACTAGTAGCTCATTTCTTGTGTATCCTAGGTAGATGTAATATTCGATAAATCTGTGCTCATGCGAGCAGTTTTATAAAGACTACAGATCTCCGTATATGAATTAAGTATTTACGTGTCTTTCTTTTAGCTGGAGATACGCTAACCGTAAATATCACATAATTATAAATTATTTGCATAATCTTCAGAATGTATTATTCTTCAACTTTTTCATTGTTACATCTTTAAAGATTATTTGTTTACTACAGTTTTAGAGGGATATTCCACATGAAATTTATTGATCGTTAACGGTGTCAAAGTCAGATTTCTTAAATTCGTTATCATTTACATTGAGGATACTGATGCATTTTGGAGCAAAAACGGCTTTCATCTAGTTTTTAATTTTTTTTTATCTCTTGCAAATAAATAAAATTATGATTAGTTAATTTCAATATAATCTAAATAGAAATTATGAATTTTTATTGATTTAATTACATAATTATATTATGGTAAAATATAATAATGTTACGTATTCAATATTTATAAATACATCATATAAGCACTATCATTGTTTTTAAGAATCTATATAACTGGAGCTGACAATGTAATTTTTCAAACATCACAAATATTAGTAACAAAAAAATGTAATAAGGAAGTTCAAATTATCATGTAAGTTGAAGTGGGTATGAAAAATTAATTTGAATATAACAGAATTAATGTTAACAACATTTCATTATTTTTATTTGAAAGACGTTACATTGTTACAATATTTTGTTTAAAGCCATTGTTACTTAAAACGTTTTAGGAGATTAATCAGTCCCAATAGGCTAAGAAAATCATCGTTGATGAAGAATGAAATAGAATATTACGAGTTATAAATAAATTGCACCATAATTATTGATCTTTAACCTAATTTTGTTAAACATTATTTTTATAATATATTCAGTAATAATTATGTAATTGAGAAATTATACTTTATTTACGAGTAGCGTGTCCCCAGCGTACTACATTAAAATCTCATGGCCTGCTTACTTTGATTAAAATGTTTTTCTTTTCTTTTTTTATTGTATAATGTTGTTGCTTTGTTAATATAAATATAAACAAAGTAGTAATTCATCAGTAATAAGAGAAGTAACATAATCTAGGATGAATTTGCTGGAGATGGCGTTGACCTGTACGATGACGTGATTGCGGCTGCACCAGGTGGTAATGGTGGTGTTTCTACTGGTAACAGCGCTACAGGCGATGGTGATACAACATCGCCTAATGAGGAAACTAATGGTACTGCGCCTTATCATCAACTTGGAAATAACATTCAGCCCAACCAAATTGGAAGACGACATCAACTATATGTTGGCAATTTAACTTGGGTATATACATAACTTCTTTTGTAATTTTCTATTGAACATGATAAATGATAATATTTTTATAAGTTTAATAAGTGATCTTGTTACAGTGGACGAGTGATCAAGATATAACTGATGCTGTTCAAAGTATAGGAGTTAATGACTTTGTTGAAGTGAAATTTTTTGAAAATCGTGCTAACGGTCAATCAAAAGGGTTTTGTGTTATTTCTTTGGGTTCGGAGCAAAGTATGAGAATTTGTATGGAAAGACTTCCTAAAAAAGAACTTCATGGTCAAAATCCAGTTGTTACTTTTCCAACAAAACAAGCATTAAATCAGGTGAGTTTTATGTATAATTCCTTGTTAACCTGATAATGTAATTATATAATCCTTGTTGCCGATAACAAGTTAAATACTTCATCTATTGTTAATCTGAGTTTGAACGTGAGTAGTGATGTGAGGAATAAATACTTTATCAACTTATGTTACATGAATTTAAAAACATTATCTATTTAAATTTGCACTCAAATCGATAACTCGGTGAAGGAAGGAAGAACGCGTCCACATACGTTTGGCACATAGCTAGTTGGTTTAGTTAAAACGATTCGAGTAAACGACTAGCGCGCGGTTGGGGACCTCGGTACGAGTAGGTCACTCAGTTTCGCTTTTGGACCCAGTATTTGAATTCGTTTGTACTGATAATTCCAGTTTAGCAAATTGAAATATTGTACTCGACGTATCCCAAATTTTTGTACTGTATTTTTCATGCGAATAAGTGACTGAAAAATGATTGTACCACTATATAAAAGCTTATAACGCAATTGATGTTTTCAGTTTGAGTCTCAGTGTAAAACAAGAACAGCTCCTGCCCCTCAACAAAGTCAAAGTCAACGGCCACATAATCCACATCAGCATCAACCACCAATGCCATCTCATCAGCAACATCCACAGCATCCTCAACACCCACAACATTCACAACAAAACCATGGCCCAAGGATGATGATGGGTCCACCGCAGGGTGTGCGACCCCAAAGGATGCCACCACCTGGTATGGGCCCTCCTGGACCAGGTGGTCCTGGGCAACAAGGTCCACCTCGAATGCACGGTCCACCAATGGGTCCTGGTCCTGGACCACATCATCCTTTACCTGGTCATCCTAATCAAGGACCTCCACCTCCTGGTTATCAGCAAGGACCATGGAATGGTCCAAGACCCAATGGTCCTCCTGGACCACCTAGAGGACCTAGTGGCCCTGGTGGACCTCCTCAGCAAGGACCTCCTGGACCAGGACCAGGACAGCATCGACCACCTGGAATGGTAAGCAGTATATTCTATACAAAACAAATTTTGTAACATTCAGGGTCCAGTTAAATTCATACATTTTTTACATTTAATATTTCTTCAGTAAGCGTAATAATTTGATATTTAAACAACACTATTTTTTATGCTTTAATTTAGCAATTCCATGGCGGTCCTCCTGGGCCCCCTGGACAGGGTCCACCACGTGGTCCTCCAGGACACCCTGGAGGTCCTCCAGGAGATCCGCGCGGTGCCCCACCTCGTCCTGAATGGAACAGACCACCCGGTTAGTATCTTTATTTTACTTATGTAACCGTGTTACCTTTTATGTTTTTCAATTTAATTTTTTTATTATGTCTGAATTATTAATGTGTCTTGTGTGTAACAAAATAGTATTATATGCAATAATATATCCTTAACTTCAACAATAATTGGGTATTCTACTGATTGGAAGGAAAATATGTTCCAATTTTCAAACGTTATATCTCAGTAGATGATGAAATAAGGAACGATAATCAATGAAAATATTTCTCTCAACATATTAAATTAAAACCAAGTGAGTACAGTTAATGGTTAATTTTTCGTCATTTGAACTTTCAAGTGATTTTGAATTTTATAACATCGTGACCGATGAAAAGATCTATAACAATTCATATTACTTGTTACAATATTCGATAGACCAAATGAAGTAAATGTTGATTAAGCAAGCATTGTTTTTGGAAGATGTTGGGCGTTTTCGTATGTACTCTTGTATACAACAAATGATATATTTACAATGTCCATTTTTTTTTTAAATAGTCGTATCCCCCTTCTATCAAATATTCTAATAAAAATAGTAATTTAGTAAAAATACCCAGTTTGATATTCAAATCGAATAGTCTCCTTTTTAACTTTTCATACTTGTCATTAATGCATCCTATGTTGATTGATTGTGTGCAGTAATGAGTCCGTCAATAGAGTAACTTTCATCGGAAAATAAATGTCAAGACATGCACGTTTGTCTTTCGCGTGACAAGATCCATGGTTGTAGTATCTTTCAACTATTCATATTCTAACGGTATCGTTCAATGTACATAGGAATGCATCATGGGCCTCAGGGACCTCCAGGTTTCCCTCAACATCAACACATGCAAGGCCCGCAACCTGGACAAGGCCCACCTCAAAGAGGACCTCCTCCAGGTTCTATGGGTGGTGAGAGATTTAGTATGATAGTAAATTGTCGCCTGATGATTAGGCTATTGCATGATATTGAGGGAAATGTATTATTGTACATCTGTGACACATTGCGATGAAGAAGGGCAAATCTTAAATGGTAGTTCCAATCCTGTCGCCTAGTCCTAATGTATACAACACTGGACAACAAATAACGATAGAGTTTTAGGGTACAGATTCAGTGCTTTTCCTACTTAGAGATCCTTAGGGGGGAATGGTGTATCATTTTCTCTGTTTGTGTTTTCACAACCACGAGAGCTCTAAGCGGGGGAACTCCGTGCCCAACAATGTTTTTACAGCTTCCCGAAAATATAATTTTCCCTGGGGAGCCAGATTTTAAAATTATTTTTCAGAAAGAATATAAGTAATTAGTAAAAATTCGTACTTCTAACTTACGAATCTATCATGGTGGTCCAACATGATCTCTGTTGATATTTGCCCAATTTTTACGGCACCGTTACGCGGAATCACTAATCACTAACGAAGATTAAAAAGGGCTATACATAGGAAGTTGTACACATCAATTTCATACTTTATCACTGGGAATTACTATCAAATAGCTAAACTCGACATTTTTGGGTGCGAACATGCGAAGTTGTCAACGAGGACATTCCCCTTACAAAAAACTTGAGTAAGTTTCCACTACGAGCGTTAGTTTACCTATGATGTCGCTACGTTGCAGAAGAGAGCGCAGTGTGCGACCTGACAGAAACAGCCAGCACATAGCCGAACTTATCGGGACCCTTGCACGATCTCCATTAGATGCAATATGAGCCGCTCAGTGCACACATCGACTAACTCCACTTTTTGAAAAATCTTAAATTTAGGTGTCAAAGCACTCGGTATAGTCATAACTTTTTATATTTATAATATCTTTCCTGATTAATAGAGATTAATACAATTAAACGGCAAAATTTTGTTGGGCATTGAATAATAAGTAATTTATTTCAGAAGCCATTTTGATTAACTCCATACTCTAATGTAAATCGTAGACGAATACCTGGCAGTATAGTATTAATGAATTAACTGTTGCGGCCGTACATCGACGCTTTTTTTTTTAAACAGCCGAAGATGCTTTCCCTCTTTCAACAATATGAGGAATAAAATCGCATCAGTAAACAGATAGAAAAAAGCACAATGCAAACGGTAGTTAGTATAACGGTGATCTCTCCCGCTGAATGTTACCGTATACTTCACCAATATTACACGGACTACATATTTTTTGGTCTTTTCAACATTACTCTCTGATTGTTTTTAAAGAACTAAATATTATACCGTTATAATCAAGATGAGTGAAACTAATAACAATGTGGATGTGGAAAGCAGTGATGATTCTTCAATACGATTTATCAGCAGAAAGTCTGGGGAAAGAAGACGTTTATCGTGTTTCTCGAATTCATCCGATTGCAACGGTACAAATTCCCCAACAAACACATCGATTGGGAGGAAAAGAAGTCGTAATCCTGATAAATGGGCACGAAATTTACAAAAGCATAACGGAACAAAAGGTTTGGCATACAGGAATAGGGGAGGAAATTTAATACCTGCAAAAACATTTGTCGATATAAAATGCAGACGATTATTTTTTGGCTATTCTTTCTTATTATTTTTATATACCGTTAGATGAAAACTATAACTGTATTTATGTATTCTACATTATATATTTGAAGTTATATTATAATAGGAATTTTAAAAAAGAATCTACATTACTTCATCGCATTTCTCAACTTTTTGTTTTATGGAGTTAATCAATGTGTGCACTGAGCGGCTCATATGTAAACACCCCGATTGTTGTAAAGGTCAAGTTCGTTTGTTGTGTAATATAGTCGATATCTGTTTTCTATTGAATTTCTTAATAACAAAGCCTTTATTTCTTTACGTGAGGTATGAAAGTTTTCTTGAGTCCCGGTATCCGATGGTTCTAACACTCGACGTTACTGGCGTACGACTGCATGACGTCATAATTACCGAGACATGAGGTTTGTTCGCGTTGACTGCACTTTCTACACTCGAGGGTAACGAGTGTACCACACTTTTCTTGAAAAGTGCTGAAGGGTAGATACACTTTCGTCGACGTCCCGAACGCCAGCAACTCACGAAAGTTCAAGATGACCGATTTAGTAGAGCGGTACGCGATTTTGAGGTTATCCGTATCGGACGATGATGGATACGAAAATGTAATGCTTCCTCCAGCCTTCCTTCTTAGGCTGTCTTCGTTTTCTTCAAATCCTACAATTCGTTCTATTACCTTGTAATTGTAGAAGATGAAAATTCCTTTCACGAATTTCAGGTATTGAGGATCAATAAGGGTGAGAATGTTATTGCAGTAGAATATAAAGCAATTTAACTACAACAAGGAAAAATTATAGTTTAGTTCATTCCAACCGCGGTTACGTAGTAATACATAATTATTGTATATTGTTTCAAACATTATGCACAAAACTAAAACGCTAAATCGTTTTATACACGAAGAAGATGCATTAATAATTACTTCCATTTATATTACGTTGAGATGTTAGCATAAATTTTGTATTTTCCTGTTTGTTGGTCTTTTTAATTTTGAAATTTGCCGCCAAATTCGCGGACTACACTTCTTGCACTCGCTCGGGATCGAGAGCGGAAAGTGTAGAGAAAGTGTACACTCGGTGTAGATGCACTCGCAAAACGAACAGTGACGTCTGCGTCACTTCCGTTAAAACGAACGCCAAAGTGTACACTTTTCGTAAAAGTGTAGAAAGTGTAGGCAAAACGAACAAACCTATGAATGCCACGGCAGCCGTCAGCAACCGTGTGCCGACAGAAACGGCGCTTGCAATATCATAAGTTTTTCCATTGCTTTTCGTTACGTGGCAGCACGGTCGACTCGAGTTTACCGAGTGGTACCATTCCCCCTTAAGATAAATCTATTTATTTTTGTACTTTTTATTAATTAATGAATGCCTAAGAAGTTGGTATGTATGATTTATAGAAATCAATGGTAATTTTAATCATTTTTAACAAGTCATATCCACTGGAATTCTGCCGTTACGAGAAACTATAAAATTAGATAAAACTACTTCATTAATTTAAACATTTCAAGAAAGAATCTTACAGTCTTGATTTAAAAATTAAGAATATTTAAAAACAGGATGAATATTGACTAAATACAGGCCAAATAAAAAAACCTTTAACTTGAACTTATATATTTCATTATATACGCTTTTAACGTTAACGTATATAATTAGAAAATAGTTTTCTGGTATAAATATTTTTACCAACACAGGGTGCATTTAATATTTCAGCACAATTCATTTGGTCATTAAAAAAATGTTACAAACCGAATTTTAATGTGTAATTTTAACTTTAGATTGATAAATCCATTTGGTAAGGATAATTGTTTGAAAATAATTATTTTAGTTTGCAATGTGTCGAGTACCCTCGAACAAAGAATGAAGGTGGAATAAGTGCAAAGTGTATAGGCTAGTCCTTAGGGGTCCTCTGTGCAATTCCTAGAGCCTGCTCTCTTGTTTCTGTTGATTTGTTCACGATTGTCTTAAAATGTTGAAGTAAAATGTTCCTGGTCATAAATAAATTCGTAAGGCACATTGGAAATGGATTCGCATTCAACTAAAATGGTTGTGTACTCGTATCTTTAACATGGTAAAGCCTCAATTGATCAGGAATGTTGCCAGGTCCAGGTGGGCCTCCGCCGGGGCACGGTGGTCCGCCGCAAGGACCTCCGCAAGGGCCGCCAGGTGGACCAGCTCCACATGTGAATCCGGCATTCTTTGCGCAAGGTCCTCCGCATCAACATCCTGGTCAACATCCTGGAGGACCTCCCGGTCCCCCAGGTCCTCCTCACGGGCCGCCTCATGGGCCCCCTCACGGACCACCTCATGGTCCACCTCATGGTCCTCCTCACAACCAACCTCATGGTCCCCCTCATGTACCACCTCATGGTTATGGACCTCCAGCTGCTCAGGTGACTATAATTTCTGATTATATTTCCACGTTTATTACTTGTACTTGTGGACGGTATTTTCTGTAGGAAAATTATGTTTAGCTACTTTAATAATTTTTTTTTAAATAAACTCATTTGGGTTTCGAGAAAATATCGAGATCGAACCCCATAACGTGTATTCACTTTAAATGAAAATATCTGAGCATCTCTTAAGAAAATGACGGTATTTAGAAAATTTAAGTTTTTAAAGATTTTACTTTTTTTTTTTCTTATTTTAGCAAATGATGCAATCAATAACTACATTAACTCACATTTGGATACTATTCATTATGCAAAAAGATATGTCATTCGAATGTTTTGTGGTTTCCAGTGAGTTTATGCAATTTGTGAAATGAAATTGTTACGCATATTATATCGTATTAAGGTGAAATGAATGTGGCCATTGACGCGTCAACACGTTTATGAAACTTTTCTACTATGTGGATGCACCGAATTATTTGGAATATTAGCACATAATTATGGAGCACAACAATTTTTTATTTATCCCAGACTAGAACGAAGTATATATATTTTTGACATTTTACGTCTTTTGAAAGCTTAGACTCGAAAACGAAGACTCTCACGTCCTAGACATAACAATGTAGAACACTATCGTAACTGAACATTAAAGATTCGTTTGGAATATACTAAGAAAAGTTTTATAGCATATGCAAAATGTATTTTACATATCACGGGGCTACGAAATTATAATTACGTTCGTCTGAGTCTTATTGTAAAAAATTGAGGAGTTATTTCAGAAGAATCCCATTCCCGGTTTAATTATATCCACTTCAGCCTTAATTATTTTAAGTTTTATAAACGAATTTCACTGTTCTGAAATTAAGGGCCCTTGATACTGACCAGTAGGCCTATTTTATAACTCGTAACGACAACTGTCGTTATCGTTACGTTACCGATGGTCTTCGCTTGTTCTACCGACAGCTTAACGAATGGCGTATTCTATAACTGCTCCTAGCGACACCCTATCGATACAAAACGAGATAACGACATCGTTACGCTAGCGACAATTCTCTATTCGGTATAACTGTTTTCAACCAATGAAATTTCACGTTTTCTTAAGATGAGTTTGTGAACATTGAAAGATACAAAGGATACAAATTAAAAATAGTGGTTCACGGCTGCGAAGTTCATAGTTTTCCAATAGCTCTTTATTAAAAAGCAGTTTCAACACTACTTAATGCAATCTTTTCTCATATTAGTATTTGAAATAGTCTTTTCTTTTCATACGAATGCAACGACTAGCAGATGGTTGACTAACTATCAAGTTCATATTTGCACCAACTGGATTTTGGTAGCTTCCATTAGCATAGAAATTAATTGCTACTAATACTTTTACTTCTGGTGATAACCCATGAATTCTTTCTCTTTCCAATCGTGGACGCAGTGTATTGACAATATCCATAACAAGTTCTGGACTTAATCGGAAATGTTTTAAAAATTCATTGTAAGGAAGGTCAAA